GAAAACTTACAAATTAGATATATGAATTGATACAAATTACTCACCAATTAACATTAGAGTGTGTTGCCACACCTGCTTCACTTACTGGCAAAATGTTAAATGAATAGTTCACCTAAATTGCTGTCATTATTTACTCACTCTCATGTTATTCCAAACCCAGGTTTGATATCAATAGTTGTTTCCACCACCCGGTTTTAATGGACATTTTGAAGTATCGCATCTGAAACGAGACATGGAAATGCCAAATTTCAAAAGAAAATCCATTAATTCGCAAAAAAGATTTTACATTCGCTTCAGGTGGTTTTTGACTTATGCGAAAAAGGGTTAATGCGAAAAATGGGAAATAGAAGATTAGATCTAGTTTATTAGGAAGTGACCATTTTGTTCTCTTTGACTCATTGGATGGAAATGGTGCTTATTCACAAATGTTTTATGTGATATTCCAATTTTGCGCATAAATTACATTTGCAACTTTGGATGCAAACCTGGCTAATGACACCAAATGTCATTGGTTCTCACATGTCTTGTAATAGACTGGACCACACCAAAATGTGGAGTACGTAGTGCACAAGTATGAACTTTTGTGGAGTTTGTTTGCCATTTTTGGGGCTTGACAGAGACTTGGAATTTTATATTCATTGCATGGAAAAGAGTAGCAGGAACTTTTTTAGAATATCTCCTTGCATGTTACATGGGTTAAGAATGAGGATGAGTAGATGAAGAATTTTTTTTTTGGAGTGAACTATTCCTGTAACAATGAATTAGGGTAACACTTTATTTTAAGGTGTCCTTGTTATACATGTTATATGTACTTACCATTATAATAACAATAAATTATGCATAATTACATGCAAGTAACCCTAACCTCTGTCACACCACAGCCGGCAACTGAGTCTGCCCCGGTGGACTATGCAAGGGAGCGCGAGGGCTTGGAGAGAAGCCCCGCCCACTGCACCACCACTGAGGATGAGCATCCCCTGGACTCTGGGAACCTAATTGACTGGGAGGCAGACATTCATGCGGACATGCCCATTCTCCTCCCACCTTCCTCGGACTTGTCAGTCTGCCCTGAACTGGCAGCCAGCCCTGTCCTTCCCCTGTCTGAAGCTTACAAAGGCCTCCACCGCTGTCGTCTGGCAGCCCCTCTGCTCAACCTCAGCCCACCATCTGTGTGGTGGGATCACCGCGGGTCTGCCAGTCTCCATCGGCGTCGTGGCTGGAGGATCCCCTGTCTCTGCCTCCAGCCTCTGAGTCCCAGACTCCACCTCGGCCCGTCGACCCAGCGGCTCCACCATGGCTCCTAGCTCCCTCCTCTCTGCCGTGGGCCATCAGTCCACCAGGTCTGCCGGGCTCCCTCGTCCCACCTGCTCCACCTTGGTCAGTCGTCGACCATCCGTCGCCTCGGGACTCCAATCTGCTCCACCTTGGCCCTCCGGATCCTCCCCATCGTCCTGGCTCATCGGCTCTCCGTCTCTGCCACCTGCTCTGCTGCCGTCGGTCGACCCCCTGGAGTCATCAGCCCTTCCTCCACCATGGCTCCTCCCTCCGTCAGCTCCTCCGTGGGTCGCCTGCATGGCTGCGCCCTGGCTCTTCCTGCTCCAAGTCCCTCTTGTTTCCTCCCTGGCTCCTTCCTCCGTCGTCTCCACCCTGGACTCTGTTTGCCGTCCTCCTCCCGGGTGTCCATCCTCCACCCGAACCTACTTCTGAGTTCCCCTCTGTCCCTCCCTTTGTTGTTCCTGCGGTGCGAGGACGCGCCTTCCCGGAGGGAGGCGACCTGTCACACCCCTGGACTGTTTGTGTGTGTGTTTTTCTCCCCGTGTGCTCCGCGTGACCCAGTTTCTGTCTCTAGTTAATTATGTCATTTGGTTCAGGTGTGTCTTGTTAATTGTCCTCGTCATCCCATGTATTTAAGCCCAAGTCTGTGCAGTCTATGGCTGCGTTTACACTTGGCATTAACATGCAATCACCATGATCTGATCAAGCAGATCGGATCATCAGTCAATCAGGACACGGCGCGTTTACACTTGACAACATCAGCTGACTTCTCGATCTGGATAACCGATCGGATCTGTATTTCCCGCGCAATATTTAAAATAAGTCTGCGGTGCAAAGTCGACCTGAAGTGGTGGGTTTTCTTTTGAAAACTATTTTCAGTCGCGGGACATTTTACAAATCAAAATAAATGTACGAGTTTCACTAGCGCTCTGTTCTTCTGACAGTTCGGGAGAGAGGGGGCGGCGTTTTGCTTGATGTCGACCTGCGAATGCAGACACGATGGCTGGATTGCGTTTACATTACACTGAGATCCGATCACAATGCGTCCTCGACTACCTCTGGACCAGGACACGCTGATCGGATAACATTCCGATCAGAAGTGCGTTTACACTTGTCTTTTCAATGTGTATGTGGACAACATCCGGATACAGGCCGCATGTTAATGCCAAGTGTAAACGCAGCCTAAGCTGTTCCTTGTGTGGATTACCCTTGTGTTTGGATGACATTAAAGATTGTTACTTTGATCCACGTCTCCGCGTCGTTCCCTCTGACACAGTACCGTGACATATAGTAAGTACACGTAGTTAATTAATATTACTCAGTACTTAAATATATAATTACACTATAACAAGGACACCTTAAAATAAATTGTAACCTGAATTAATACATTGCTTAATAATAAAAGCAATTAGTTTTCTTACAGTGAGAAGAACTACTGTTCTTATAATAGGCCTTGACAGAGCTAAACAACAAACCAGAGGTGCAAAAAAAAAAAGTCTGTGTAGGACTTTTGGGTTTCCATTCAGTATGTGGAAGGATACAATCTGCATACTCTATATAGCCCTGCAAACATACCCCTCACAACTCAGAAAAGGTTATTGACCTGAATTGTGTTCTCTGATTGAGTACCACAATGAAAAAGCTAATGGAGGGCAGCTGCTGTCAAATAATTAACTAAAACACAAACAGAATGGCCAGAGGGTGGAGAGGATGAACTGATAAACCTGGGGCAAGTTCAAGCTCAACCCGGTGTGCACCGTTTTGCTACGGTTTCCGGTTTGAACGACATGTTTCCTGGAAACGGTGTGCAACGGGGTTTGAGATGCGTCTGATGATGTGCTCCTATTGCCAGAAACACGTCATATAGTGGAAGAATTGGTGAATAAAAACATATCTTGTTTACCATTGTTATCATACCATTATATTACCATTATACTATTGTTATCATACTATTTCTATATCAACACTGAAGAGAAATTTACACTTAAAATACAGCAAAGAACATCCACAACTGGATATATTTATTTATTTATTTGTTTGCCAGCCATTCGTATAAAAAAATATTCCTGTGAATAACAGCAATTCACCGAAAAGATGCTATGATAACTTTATTTTGCAGATTTTATTACAGTAAAAATAAAATTAAGTAAATTCAGTCTAATATGACTGTTTTCTTCCACAGCAGTATGCTACTGACTGCATGTATCAAGCTGAATTGAGGAAAATATTTAGAATTATTCATATAAACTGCGACAAATATTTAACACCAGTGGACATCACACATTCACTATCAAAATTCAAAATAGTTTTCAGCAGAACATCATTTTTGCCATGCATCTAGTTTACTTTTTTACTCAAAAAAAAAAAATCTATTCACAAATAAATATGGTCCCACCCACCACCTGTCAATCAATCGTCCTGCGATCTACAAGAGGCAGCCTTGTGAAAATCAATTACGATTCAAAATCAATAATCAGTTATCAAAATGACATAGTTTTAAACATTTTGTGTGTTGTATTGCTATATGTCGTGATAGAGAAGTCAAATTAAGTTGGTGTCGTAGTTTGTGTTAGGTCTGTGGAGAAGGATTGGAATGAAGAAAGGAATCCTGTCCTGGTGAGCAGCTCTGTCCTGCCACACCTACTGATGGTTTTAGCTTAATTCATAACGCAAAACTTGTCATATAATGAAAGAAGGTTATATATTTTACTCATAGGATTTGCCTAAAGAAATTGAGTTATGTTTTGTTGGGAAATGTGCTTGCTATGACAGATTTGACTGGTTGTTAAATACAGTTAATATACAGTATTAACAGCTAATAACTAAATTTTCTGTAACCATAAAATGACTATAACACTGAGAAATGGTGTCGAGAAGCTGACATTACACAGATCTGCAAATGTTAACGTCTGGTATGACTTGTTTTTTTTTTTTTTAAGAGACTCTGGAGAAGACCTACCTGGAGAAGAGTCACCATTCTGGATGTGGTTGTGGTAGGAGAGCTTGTCAGCTTTGCCAAGCACACACACATTGAGATTTTATGATGCATAGATCATCAAAGATTTCAGTTTTTACTCTCCTTGTCAGGACACGTAGGGAATACCTGGACCACACACACACTCTTTTCATACACTCTTTCATAGATTCTTATACTGTACAAACTGTTTATTAACCATAAACACAACACTCACAGAAAACATTCTGAATTTTCTAAAAACATAATTTAGCATGATTTATAAGTTGATTTCCTCATGGGGACTAAAATTGTCTTCATAAGATCAAACATTTCAGGTATTACTATCACTTTGGGGACATTTTATACCACTCGAACCACACACACACACACACACACACACAACTCAACTTGAAATAAAAACTGACCCGTTTACATTTTAAAACTATTTAATAATAATTAAACATTTAATTATTTAAAACTCTTTAATACTAATTAAATATCCCTGGTCTCATCCAAAGTGTTGTAGAAGTACTCCACCAATTAATCAAATGAAATCAAAGTCCAAAGATTTTTTAATGTGATATTTATTCATAAGCCCTCTATAAAAAATTGTAATACTAAACCACGTTTACAGTTGATACTCATAAAGTATTATTATTATTTTTTTTGTAAAATGTTTACCCCAAAATCAAACCTTACTTTACACATGTACAATCTTTACAAAGAGATTGACATTTTGAAACAAATTTGAATTGTTTCAAATCAAAGAGAGGAAAAAATATATATAATGGAACAAAATAAACATATAAAGATATACATACTTTTTCATTTAACAAAGTTATAACATCTCATTTATCAGAGATTCTTGGACAAGCGGAATATTAAGTACATGCCTTGCGGCATTTAAAGAAAGCTGCTTAATAGGACAGACGTTCCTGCGTCCTCCTCATCACTTCCTGTTACCCACCAGCCTTTGCAAAAAGCTTAGAAATGCTGAGTGCCATTCAAATATTTAGCCAAAGTAGTATTGCACCTTTGCCATGAACAAGTGACCTGCTCTTGTAACATATCAGACGTGCTGACCTGAATACCCTTGTTCCCTACGCAAACAAAACACCTTTGACCTTCATTTGGGAACACTAATTAAGTTTCTCCCCTGATTTAAAAGGAGATTGTAACCAACAGCAACTCTGAATCTGTGTGTAACCACTAGAGCTGTGCGACATACAGACAGGTCCTTAGATAATATGCATGCTTAACGTATGCTAAGTACATTCACAACTCTATCCAGTGCCCTCTTTTGTCAAAACAGTCAAACGTAAAGGCAGAGTACAAAAAGGCACACATACACACACACACACACACACACCAACCTTTTATATAAACCTAGCTCTGATTACAAGAGGAGTTAAACAAATCTAAACAAATCCTAACATCCTAAATATCAATCACACTGGAAATACGATGTCCAACTATTAATGGGGAACAAGTCATAAGTCCAGGCTATGTTCAAAATGGAATAGCGGTGTATTATACTGTGCTGTTTATACTGTTTACTGCCTAGTTTGCAAAAATCATCGAAAATAAAAGTCCAATTTTATGTGTAATTCACAATTTGGCATTTTGATCAAATAATTAGTCTGGAAAACGAGAGCTGATGCTTGTTCGTTCGTCACACTGAAAATGGAAGGTCAAGTTGAGCGCATTGCATTGTGGGATACAGAATTCCACGCTTTATGTATACTGCACATTTTGGCAATGTAGTAGGCCATCCAGGTATTCTATACATACAGAATATACATACTATATACTCCGGCAGTAAGAAAAGTGTGCTACTTCAAATAAGCAAATTACAAGGTCAAATGCGGCATTGGGGAGACTCTAGAAGTTCATTTGTATATCTGAAAGGATGGGGGTGAACGGTCAGGAAACGGAGAGGGTCAGTGAACAACGTCACTTCCCCTGCAGGGCTGAAGATGTTGTTAATGGGGTGGCAAGAGGTGAAGGTCTGACTGTAGCTCAAGCCGTATGCACGTTAGTACGACACTTTTGGGTCAAACAGATCCCAGCAAATAAGACATCTTCATCATGATCTATTGGTTTTGTAATGAAACAGTAACACTGGCAATAAATAAACACTAATGATAAAACAACAACATAAAAAAAATTATAATACTTGTACAATACAGTGAAGATTGCATAATCAGAAATGACTATTTTTGGCACAAAAGAAGAATGCTATGATTGTGTCAGCCTTTCAAACAGTGGATGCTCCTTCATGCATGAATGCGATTGTCCCTCACAGTGAAAAAATGAGTGCATGGAGTACAATCTGACTGTACGCCAACTTCTCTAAGTACTCCAGCTGTGCCTAGTGCTCTAACAATCCCTTGCTTTTAGTGTCCTGACCCTGGGATACTAAGATAAAGAATCAGGTGTATTTCACCATTAATAGAAAATACATTTTGACGGGAGCTCAATTTAAAAATGCAGTAAAAAGCGAATGATACAGTGCAGGATGCATTTGAAAATGCATCAGATACAGTAATAACACATGCCAGAATTCTTTTTCATGTCCTTCTAGTATTATATACCAGTATTTAAGGTGAATCTCACAAATTAGGCCAAGAACAAAAAATCATTGTGTCTAGGCAGATCTTCTGATTTTCATTACTGTATTATGGTACTGAAAGTGACATTGTGCTTAATGTCACTATGCGTCGGTTCAAATAGCCCTAATATCGGACTTTGTGATTTCTTCCTGATTTTATGAAATATGACCTGGACATTTCTTTATGAGGATCACCATTTTACTCTCCTTTTTTGTACACTAATTAAAAAAAACTGTTTAAATTTAGCCACTGGATGTCAAATTTATGGAACCATTTTAAGGAGTCAATACTTGTTTCCCTTTGTTTTAACATTAAAGTGTTTTGAGTCTGCTAACATAAGCAACCAAAAAAGAAAAAAAAAAATGAAGTAAGACATTAGAGGAACAAATGCCCAAAGTGCAGCCAATAAAAGGATGGAGCCCTGTGTAACCCCTCTCCCTGAAAGAGAAAGCAGGGCAGGAACGACTCCGCTCTCACTGTATCAGCAGGCCGTGTGCAGTGCAATGCATACATCAGCAGTCCACCCTCTCACAGAAATCAACAACTACTTTATCACCCACTTATACAAAAATAAATCAATTAGAACATGGTAAGATAAGCATTACACTTATATAAAATAGCTTCGAATATTTACATATAGACAACAACAAAGAAAACACCAGCAACCTGTCCTGTACAATCTACACCTGAATAAAAAGACATGTTAAGAGGTACTGAAGTGTATGGCTTGAAAGGAAATACTTCCCTATATATACATAAAGGAACTTAATATATATTTAGATCTATATGTACTTAAATATCCCTGGAATCATGAAAGTGACGTGCGGAGAGCACCCCACACCGCCACTGCCTACAACATGGCTCAAGTCTTCATAAACATCCGCCATGTTCTCCAAACCAAGAGTTTTGCTTTGGTGATCTAAGATCAGGTAACAGTTCATAAATTAGATCCACAATATGCCCATTAGAAAACCTCGGAAGAGAATTAGGACCATGGACAAACTGGATCTACTGTACTGTAAGGTATCGCTAGGAGGAGCATGCACATATCTCCCCGGAGTAGAGTTTATGGGTGTGAGTGTGGTAATCTACTTCCTGGTCCTCTGTCGGAAAGTTCAGCCTCTTATTTGCAGTGCAACATCTCTGACTTGGACCAAAGACAACTCAGTAGTATACGCAGGCATGCAAGTCCAGTGCTAACAGAGTATGGACATCCCGTCTGCAGTGAGCAGCTGGCCACTGGTGGGGTCGTAAGTGCCGGCCAGGTAGTACAGGTCATGATAGCTCCCATCAGACTTCCTGTTGCGGGTCAATCGCTCGTATTCCTCACGTGTGACCACCTGACACTTATGAGAGATTGTCTGGACGTCGTTTTCATCCTCATGGCATGACTGGTACAGAGCATGCTAAAAAACCAATGAAAAGTTATCTTTTAAATTTCCTAAAACATCTCTCGCGATCTGCTAGCATTGTCACAATATTAACATTTCAGTAGTGACTATAAAAACCAACACCAGGCTTGGCATAAGAACACAGAATAACACACCTAACTTTAATTAGTTACCACCTGTGTGCTAATTTATGATTTCTACTATGCTAATGAATATTAATTACATTTCATGACTGTATTGAAGGTTATGAAACAATGACAGCATGAATCCAGTTCTACCAATACCATTTAATTTTCTCTGCTGTTTATTGAGTACAACTTAGTCAGTAACTCAGCTTATAGCATAACCATCTAAAAGTCCACTGTGACTGACAGGCCTCCATATATTTGGATACTTACTTCCTTGCCATCACGATGTCTCTTGCCTAGCTTGGTTTCTTCAGGGTGGTAGAACCACTGGACCTTCACGACCATGCTGCTCTGCCATGACTCCCAGAAACTCTCAATGCGGCCGATTAAAGGCAGATGAGGCTGCCCAGTCGAAAGGAACACAGCACAGTCTCCTACCCGCACCATGTCCTTGCCACGCACTATGGCCTTGTAGAAAAGCTTCCGGGCCTTTCCCTTAAGTCCACGGCGCTAATGTGATAAAGACAGCTTCAGATTTTTTTGTAGATGTTTGTATACAATTATTTCATTTGTTTAAAGGTGAAGTTTAGGTGAAAAGATAATGGTGTTTCCAATCAGGCCCATCTGCTATTGTTTGCACTATAATTAACTACCCACTAAACAACTTATTAAATGTAGTCACTGGTTAGAAACTCACACCATTGGTTTGGATGCACTATATTGACACAGGTAACTATAAAGGTTAATACTAAACCACAAGCCTCTATTCTTGTACTCAGAATCTAAAAAATGGTATTGTTACATCCCTAGTTGAACCACAATAGGATAACATAACAGGATCACTCAGAGAAATGTTTTAAAAGCCCCTCAGAGTTAACGTGTGTTAAACTCTTTGGGAAGACTTGTAGTTGATGCTGCACATTAAACTGGAATCAATCAGATTACCAATTACTAAATGAATGTACAAAGCAGTTATCTTTTCAAAAATGACTCACTTGAGTGGGGTTTCCTGACCACCTCCACAGCTGTCTAGATGGCAGGATGGTTGACACTCTGGGTTTGGTCTGGTCTGCTAGAAGCCGTTGCCTCTTAACCAGATCTTTAGGGGTTTTGGAGAGTGAACTGGGATACTCTTTCCTCTTCTGTGGCTTGCTGTTAGTACTGTGGTTGCCATGCCCACCTTTGGCACTGGACACTGCCACAGCTTTGGCCACAAAGGAGTGCCGTGGGGGTCCCACAGGGGGTTCAGGGGTCTGGAGCAAAGAATGGTGGGGGGTCAAGCAGCTTTCCTCATCCTCCGAGCTGTAAGATGAGTCATTTTCAGAAGAGCACAGACTGGAACTCGAGAGAGAGCCTGAGCTGGAAGAGCTGGAAGAACCTGAGGAAGACGAGGAGACCGAGATGCGTGAGAGAAAACGGCCAGCTGTTCTCAAACCTACAGAGGCAGGAGCAAGTGCAGCACGGCCCGTCCTCCTTTCCACTTCTTCCTCTTCCTCATCCATGTCTGAGTAAGAGCTGTGGCAGTCCCTGTGGCAGCCAAGGTTCAAGTCTCCATACTCACTCATGCGCAATGATGGTGAGGGCTTCCTCTGGACTGCTGTCCCTTTCAGTAGGAGCTCTGCTCGTGAGCCGTCTCCTTTCCTGTTGTCCTTGACCAGCAGAACTGGGTGTGAGTAAGCCTCTGCCCTGGGCAAACCACCCACCCTATTGGAGCCAAATCCTGAGGCTCCCAGCAACAGGAGAGCCTTACTGTTTTTAGTCTTTGGAGATGTTACTCCTTCATGGTCCAATTTGATTAGAAATTCGTTTTTCTTGCCCCGAGGTGGTGCTGGCTCCTCAGTCCTCTTCTTTTGACCATAAGAACTGTTCTTGCCCTCCAGTGAAATCCCAGATGTCTGGCTGCCAAAGGATGAATAACCATTAGCTATGCTGCTGAAGGAGTCGACCTCAAAGGAGCTACTGCTAAAGAGGCCTTTGGTTGGTGTCGTCATGGAGACTGAAGGTCGAGAAGATGTTTCCGCCACCCTGCCTTTCAAGGCCTTCTTCGAGGCTGAGCCACTGAGCTGGAAAAAGTTAACAGGCATTCTCTTCCTGGGTGCAGCCACTGATGGCCATGTCACAGCAGGTGCTGAGCTCTTGGCTACACTGTCTGAGAGAGACTTCTTTAGCCCTGAACCTTTAGGCCTCCCTTTAAAGAAAAGTTAAACATTTGCAATAAACTTTAGTATGATCAACATTCATAGACAGCATTTTTGGATTTTTTTTGGATCATAGGCACATTTGGAAAGCTGTCTGAATGGAGTAAAGAGTAAAATATGTTCTCTGGTGGTTTATTGTAGAAAGTCTTACCTGGTCTTCTGACAGGCTTCTCCTGAGCTTTGAATCTGTCTGTTCTTGCTGTCCTTTCACTCAGAGTCTTGTTTTCTTGCCTGGAGCTATTTTTGTCAAGCTGCCACTCAGAGATGAGTCCAGGACTCAAATCAGCACCTGAAAGGCCAGAGGTGGTGTAATTTACATTTTTTTAATCGACCTTTACAATACATTTCAAATATATGTGAAGTAAGAATCAACGATAGAAGCTCAGTTCCAAGTTCTAGTGAGCTACCAACCTAGACAGCATTTTATGGCACAATATGTGACAAAAGGCAGCTTCTCAAATACCTAGTTATGCTTAAATCGTGTTTATCATTTCCAGATAAGGCAATCCCATTGCCACAAGCAAAAATTCACTCCAGACTGAATTGAATCTAAAGAAATGTCAGTATAGACTTCACCCCATATTTGTGTACTTTGTATTTTTGTGTTTAGTAGAATATTGCTTTGTTAGCTAAGCATGTACTAATGAAAAACTAAATTAAATGTTAGTCAAATCTCAAATGATATGAGGAGTTGACTGTTTGACTCTGCTGATGAAGCTATTCAAGATGCCTTTTGAAGTCCATCACCCAAATCAAGATATTCTAGGTTTGTCTTCACTGCAGGGTAAGATGCTGCCTGTATAGACAGCAAACATAGGTAGCTCACTAGATTTTAGAACAGAGCTAATCAGAATGTCAAGTGAGGCAGAACTATACAAAGTTGGGACCTACATTGGATTTGGTAACCTGGCGGAAGAAAGCGAATATTGGAGAGAGAGATCCACCCTCTATCTCCATCATCAAACTCCACCATAACCCCACCAGGTTTAGATTCATCGCCTCCTAGAAGATCACCAGAACTAGTTAATTTAATTGAAATGCTTTACAGTAGTTCTTTAACCCTGGAATTGATATGTGATATTTTGGAAGAAAAATGATTATCTGATTCTAAGGAAAGAGAAGATTATGTCTATGCCTCACCCCTTTGCACATATCCCGGGTAAAGACAACGTGAGCGCTCACTCCAGTAAGCACACACTCTAGTCCCTTCTTTTAGCACAGCCTCAGTGTCAGGGCGTACATCCAGTACCTAACACACACAGGAACAAACTTCTGTCAGGCAATGCCAGTGAAAGTGGTTTTGGACTCCCAGGATGATAAATGACACACACAGAAGTTCAGTGTAATTAGAGACAGCTGCTGTAGACCGTTTACACAATGAAACAGCTGAATAACAAGTGTGTGTGTGTGTGTGTGTGTGTGTGTGTGTGTGTGTGTGTGAGAGAGAGAGAGAGAGAGAGAGAGAGAGAGAGACAGAGAGAGACCCAACCACAAAAATGTTTATTATTATTATTTTTTTAAAGTTAAGGGACAAACAATTTAGAATGACCACCTTTGCACTGACCACCTTTTTCGATGGATAGCGCAGATTTGTTGCTAATTACAAATTTGTAATTACTATTTAAATGCTCGATTTGGGTATTGGGTATTCAATTGTATTGTATAAGCATATACTGTATTTTTAGCAAAATCTTAGCTGTGGTATAAGTGAATATACAGTATAGACTGATTGCTAAAAGACTTTAAGAGTAAGACAAATTCAACAAGTACACTTTAAGAACATGGTACTGACCAATCAGCATTCAGGAAGGTAACTATCCATTGGTCACTAAAAAATACAAAAGTATAATACATACTGTAGAGTAAATGAAGACATGTACTAAGTCACTGTTTTGTGTCAGTGATCCTTCTGCAGAATGTTAAATGTGGAAAACAAGTGAGTCAACACCACTGATCTCTCCCAACACAAATACACAAAGGAAACAGGTTACAAGCAAAACTGGATGGGCGCCAATAATGCACTGTGGTTCACACTGTGTAATTACAGTGCATTGGCTTAAATTAACTGTAATGTTATTATAACCTGTATAACTAAGGTTGAGGGAGGATGTCTCTCCTAGTGGGTGTGCACAGAAAATGCATCCTTTGTGTTCAGAAACACCTTGATAGAGCGAAGCTAAATGAGACAGGTCAGCTTTTGGGGCACTTAAGTCTTATTGCCAGCTATCCATAAAATTGGCTATGACTGTTTTCAAGCAGGATTGTCTGGTTAGGAAAAGTCATATGGGTTTGTAACAATGGTGAGTTAATGATGAAAATTTTTAATCCAATGCTTATGGTCCAAAATGCTGAAGATACTGTAACATCTCTACTATCAGTTGTTAACATGTGTACATGGACCAAAAGTTATAAAATAGGCCATTTGAATCGCACAAACAAGTCCTGAGTGTACAGTCACTTATATTGGTGGCTGTTGAGGGAAATATCGATTTGCCCTGCTGGCACATTATAGAGGTTTGCAGTAGGATTTCAAACAATATGAAGGTGCTGAAAGGGCCCAGAGCTCACAGAATAAAGATGTGCTCTGTGCAGGGCGCTAGAGGAAGGTAGATGTGATTATGTTTTGGCTGCTAATTAGTGACAGATGCTCCTCACCAATTTTAACAGGATGCACTTTCTATGAACAGGGTAAAAAAAAATGAATAAAAATGAACAAATGGACAGTAAAAGTACACCAAAGTGTACCATGGATATAGGGATGTATTTATGGAAAGTGTCAAGAACAGCATGTGTGTTAATGTTTGTAGATATACAGTGGGTACGGAAAGTATTCAGACCCCCTTAAATTTTTCACTCTTTGTTATATTGCAGCCATTTGCTAAAATCATTTAAGTTAATTTTTTTTCCTCATTAATGTACACACAGCACCCCATATTGACCGTAGGTGAGAAGGTGTGAACAGGGGTAGAGCTTGAAGTGGTGTGAAGAAAAGGTGTGCTGGAAACAGGACTTTAGGAAATGGCATTGTGTATAGGGATCTCAGGAAAGAGGATATTGTTTTGTGCTGCTCTTTAATAGTAGAGGGGATTTTGGAGGATGTGGTGATGTGTGTGGGTCCTGAGAGGCCAAAGCTCAGAGCGTAGGCAGTTTTGTTTGCTGTAAGTGGGAAACTCACGGCTTCCTGCAAGAGTTGCTCCAGGGAGTAGATTCTGGGTCGGTTTCCTCTCTCCCCGTCGATAACAATACTGTAGCTGGAGAGAGAGATCAGAAAGTACAAAGGAGTTATTTTCAGTGGTGTGTGTAATGCTTGGCCGTCCGTGTCAAACTCCTACGGAGGGCTCACTTTCATTGGCTGTGACTGATTCTCTTCAGCAACACTTTTACTGCCGAACAGAGGGCTTAGAGGAAGTGATGCAGGTTGACTTTTGCATCCAACTAAGGACTGTGGGAAACTAGTGGGTGATGATCACTGCTTATTTAGCTGTGGTAGTGAGCATAATCCCATTTGGGGTAACGTCAATCAACGTGTCTTGGTGCAAAACACAGCAACAGGAGTTTACGATAGGTGCAATACATCCCAAAAGCAGGCACACACAGAATGTGCACCTGTCATTCACAAACAGTGTTGTTGTCGTTAATTAAAACTAAAACTTCTGGAAGACAGTTTTGAGATAAAAGAAATAAAACTTTAAATATTACTACTTAAATGTAAATAACAGTCAAAAAACGTCAAACTAAATAGAAACAGGAAATGAAATGTTGAAGCTTTTTATGGCTGGGTAAAAAATATAGATATCTCGATATTAATCGATTCTCATTTTTACGGAACGATATCGATTCTTAAATCCGAAGAATCGATTAGTCTAGCCTGTTTTCAGTTAATGGACTGAACGTTGAAGGGCACTTCCCGTCCAATATATCGCAATAAACATTGTGCATTTAATATGAAACAATGTCTCAGATTTCAAATTCTGGTTTGAATCGCACAAACGATACAATACGTCATTGTATTGCAGTATTCAAACAATAAATGCCGTTTTGGCGCTGTTTAATGTGGAGTGACAGATCGCTGTAGCACCTCAGTTCAAGACGTGGCAGCGCGTAGCACACGTGAACTGATCATCTCCTTCACATTAATAATACCAGTTTCAGCACAAATAAACATGACTAAACATCCGAAGGTAAGTTAAAAGAAAGAGTACAATCCGTACTCTTTACAAAAAACTTTACAATCCGTATCCTGTCTCAGGTAATCGCTCAATCAGTGTTTCAGCTGCGCAAAGACGTCAATATATGAAATAACACCAACAGAACTATAAGATTTATAGTCAACAAGATGTCACAACTAGGGTTGTCCCAATTCAGTTTTTAAGTCCCCCATACAATAATTTAGTTTAGCCTATCTGCCAATACTGAGTCCTGATCCGATATTTGTTTTTTGTTTCCAGTGCTAGGTGCACACTATAAGTACCTTCAAGTTATTAAAACCAATCCAATGTAGTGTGCTAGACAACTGATTAGCTTTGCAATGCTTTAAGGAATAAAATACCTGAATCTTCCTAAACTATGAGTAATATTGTGCCACTGGACAGAATTGCTTACCGTGGCTCTCAGCATGGAGCTCTTCCGAGTGGCTCTCTTTAGCCTCTCAGTGTTGCTGCTGCTGGGAAATGAGAGAAGATTGCTACTCTTTCTGTAATGACCCGGCCTGCCTGTGATCCCAGGCCAGCGTTTGTCCTGCAGTCTGGGCCTGCCTGGTCGCCTTCTGACTCCTGGTGGTTTGGAGACAGTGATGGGGACGGATCTACAGGTGGGTCGTCGTTTTACCTTCACATCCCCATCTGTTACGGCCCGAAACTGAGATCCTGAATGGGTTTCACAAAAATGCAAAGCGTTAGAATCAAAAGCATGAGGTGGCACAATCACTGGGCTTTTTGATGGCCTTTACCATAAAGTTCTTGTCGTTCCCGCTTAATTTTCGCCTTCTGATTGGCTTCCAGTTTGACAACAGAGAAAGTTGAGGGGCCTGTAATGGCAGGACTGAACGGCAGATCTCTGAACGTCTGCGCTTTGATGTCTTGGCCGTCCTCACTGCCATAACTGCCTTCCTCTTCATCTTCCTCTGTATCATGAAAATGACATTTCAGTATGGCTGTTCGCATCTGACTATAATATAAATATCAGAACATAATATGTTGGAATCACTATAAAGAAATGGTCGCCGTACAACTACATCTTGATCTAATTTGGAAATCATTCACTGTGCAAACATTTGTATGCCATATGAAACAATGAGTTATAGTGTTGATTTCTGGAGGTTTCTGAAGTAGCAAGTAAACTAGACAGCCATGGGAACAACTTCATATTCTTTTTTGTTTTCCATCAAGGAAGTAATTGATATTTAAAACTTTTGGACTGACAAAAATTCTGATCACAAAGTCTGCACAAATTTTCCCACATTTCTCTCAAACTTTTTGCTAATCTAGATTTGTATGTTTTTTTTCCATGGCAGTCTATTACTGTGGTATCCATTTTTCACACCTAAATGGCTTTTTTTTAAACTATTTATATGGTTGCAATATAGGTTGGTTAGATGATCTCTTCCTGTCTAAGCGAACCAAATAATTCTACCAAAAGTCTGGTTACTCTAGACTAAGTGGCTGTTCACACAGAACATGTTTTCCCATTTCTATGTAGTACTTTTCCATTTTTTTTCCTATGTAGACGTGCTAGACAGACGCATATGACCGTTCCGCTTGTTTCTTGTGTCTTTTGCAGTGTCTCGCACATGAGCCACGTTTTCAAGACCCTGTGTCAAGTTAAAAGAATTTCAACATTTACATGCAGCGTAAATTCATTCATCATCAGTTACAAAACAGTGGACCAATCAGAATACCTCGGAGGCGGGGCAAGCATTGTAAGTTTTGTTTACAGTAGCAAGTAGTCATGGCAACTTTTTTATTTGACAGCAACATGATGGAGGAGGCATTCTGCACTGTGCTTTTTTAAAAACCATTCCTGAGCACTGCGTCTCACGTTTTTAGATGCAAAGATGCGTTCTGTGTGAACGGCACCTAACAGACATAAATGTTTTCCCATATACACGCACACTGCTCTCTTGCTTAATAACAACTTTTCTCAGTGCCGCTCGGGGCACATGCATTCATTTAAGAAATATTAAACAGATCAATTGCATTTGTGTGAAAGAGAAGAGAAACAGGGACCAAGAGAGGTGGTGACACACAGACTCAGGGGCCGTTTACACGACAACGTTTTCAGCCAAAAACGGGAAACTTTTTATGCATTTTGCCTGTTCGTTTACACGACAACGGCGTTTTGGGGACTGAAAATGCATATTTTTGAAAACGGGTTTCAAAGTGCAAGTTTTTGAAAACGGCACCGTTATCGTTTCCGTGTAAACACCCAATACAGGAATCTTTGAAAACGGTGACGTCATGTGTGTGCGTAGTACGTGTTAGGTATGTAGACATGCGCAGTACATGTCAACTTTAAAGGCAAGCGCGAAAAACATACACAACAATGGCGGAGTACATGGTACTGTTGTTGCTGCTCAAGTGTTTGACGTTTTTGGTCGTTTTCGCGGATATGTGTAAACGCGAATCGTTTTGAAAACGTTGTCGTGTATACGTGAAACTTTTTGAAAACACAAGGGAAAAACTTTTCCGTTTTTTACTACATCGTTGTCGTGAAAACGTAGCATCAGAGTGTTGAATAATTGTGACACATTTGAAAGCTTCAATAAGCTTTTCTTACTTTCCCAAGATGACACAAACCAGCTGACTCTCACCTTGCTCAGAGGACTCGCTCTCAGGGGGGGACGTCTCCCCGTCCTCATCCACTTCCTGTCCCCTGCCCTGCGGGATCCTGGCCCCTGGCTGCTGCAAACAAGCTGCTGATCTAGGACTTTTCTTCCTTTCCTTTTTAACTGCCACTGGATCGTGCCTCTTCCAGCACTCCTGTGTCCCACTGTCCCCACTCGTGGCTGGAAATAATTCCATGCATACACAAGTACATCAGAGAAAACTGCCATTGATTACATACATTGCAAGGACATGATGGAGTTTGTGAAAGTTATGCTCCATCATTTAGTCAGAAAGTTTAGAATTTCAGTACTAGAAGTGTGCATTTTGGTTATTCTGACTGCACAAGTACCCAAAAGAGTACAACTGCAATTGTTACCTTAAAGTGCTATTTCTTACTGATTTTATCTACAAAATGAATGTATTTAGGTTGACTATTAAGTTATCTTGTTATTCTGAGTAAGTCATATTTTGTTCTGTATTGTTACAGTACATCATCTTAGTTTTGTCTTTTAAAGCCACATGGCACGATATGCCATTACAGAAGATAGGTTTTACCTGTATCGCTCAGGCTCTCAGACTCATTGGCTGTGCTGAGCTGTGTGGAATCTCTTTTGGAGTTACTATGGCCAGAGTACAGGCTCTTAGATGCAGAGGAAAACTCTGGGTCTCTTGACGCAGCTCCAGATGAATGTCGTCCACCTGGGACCTTCTGCTTGAGTTGAGTTATTTGTTGATCAAGGGTGCTGTTCTTCCGATAACACTGTGACTTCATCTAAGAGAGACCAATATGAGAGGGAATCAACATTAAGACTTATTCTGGGGAACTTTTTAAATCCTTCACTAAGCCCCCAAAATCTCCAAATCAATCCTGTGGGAGCAATAGTAACCAAAGGTGGTGAAGCTTAGCAAGGGGTTGATAAAAAAGCATGAGCTGATTAATAAATACAGAAGTGATGATTGGCTGAGGGGAGCAAGAGAAGAATGGACTTGTGTGGACACTGACCTGTGTAGAGCTAAGGCGGCCAAATCCTCGACTGGACAATTTTTTATTTTTCTTCTGCGATTCTCCACCTCCCCGGTGCTCCTCTGCTAGTGGACTTAGCCCCGCCCCCACCAACCTGTCAATCAAAGAACAACAGAAGCTGTTACAGTCAGTGCAGCTCAGAAGTGGTGGATATTTTGATTCATCCCAGAATTCTTTACATCATTATCGCTGTGTCTTTTTGTGTTTTGTGAGTCAATGAATCATTCACTCAACAGATTTGTTCAAAAGTCGTTCGTAACAAAATCAATTCTTACTGTCCTTTTTATGAAATTATAACAGATTTCTCCACAAACTGCAACAAATTGATCACAAAAATGACCCAATTTGTTCAGCGCTGCTACATCGTTCAGTCTCATTTAGTGATGAGTGTATTCACCCAGTAGGTTCAACCAATGAAATCCTCCTTCAGAAACTGCACTATAATGCTGTTTGTGCGTGCTATCATCAGTCTCGAAATCAGGTGCTTCAAAGGAGAGACTTCAGTGAACAAAAATGCCAGAACAGAAGTGAACGAGAATGATTTGTTCACTTAAAATACTCGTTCAAATTCACTGAGTCATTAATGTCCGAAACACCCCTACAGCTCAGGCAGTGTCAGTATGAAAAGAGAAAGCAAGAAAGACAGATTAGAGAGAGAACGAGGCTGAGCTGCCTCTCAGTGGGCTCAAATCGCTGCCTGCTCTTCCTCTGATGAGTATCGAAAGAGGGAAGAAAAAAAGCATGGTCTCCACACCTCACGCTTGAGGAACTACGATCAAACGGCCATCCCGCCACTGTTCGAGGGCAGTTGCTGGATAAAAAGCCCAGCGTGAATTATCAGGGGAGATTCCTGCTACAAAAAAAGGGGGCCGGTCGCTTTGAAAAGACAGAGCGAGCCGTTTGAGGGCACTGCATGTTTGACGCTATTGTTCTTGGTGAATATCAGAGCCCTCGCAGTTGTATTTCCATATCAGCGAGGCAGCTTGTCCCCCTCGGCTCTGAATGCGGGCTGGGAGAGAATGCCCTTGAATTTCCCTGGAAACCTGCCCGACAGACCGAACGAACGCAAGACCGACGGCACACAGACAAAAGATTACCTTCCATCCTACAGCAAAGAGCTAGTGTGCCGTCAGTCACATGAGCTGTTTAATCGCCGGTAGACATCTCTAGAGAGGCTGTCTTTGTGGAAACCTAATTGAGATTTTGTTTGCTGTAATGTGCTTCTGCTTACGTAGTCCCAGGGGGAAATGCTGTTTTGCTCTGAGGTTGCTCTTTCAAAGCTCAGGAGACATAAAGGAGATCTTGGTTGTGTTTCATTTAAGTATCAACTTCGCCTCACACCAAGAACGATAACAGTTAAGATAACTATTACTATATTATTAGCATCCACAACAATGGACAATAATGTTCTGGGGTGCGTTTCCCAAAAGCATTGTTAGCTATCTATGGTCATAAGTTCCATTGAACTTGGTGACTACAGAATTTACAAACATAATTGCTTTTGGGAAATGCACCCCTGATTGTTATAAGTGCCTGCTTCTGTTATGTTGTCAGCGACTTTCGAGCTGTTCGAGCTCTTTAAATTCTGATGCATTCTGATTGGCTGTCAATTTTTTTTATCATTTATCAGCTGAAAAAAAAAAATGTTGTTTCCAAAATATTCTGATATTCTGATTCTGACTTGCCTATTCTTCATAGAATTAGAACCAATATTAAAGTAATCATTATGGTTGTTGTCCTCAGTGTGAACAGGCTTTAAATCCGTGTCCTAAGATAGTCATCTCAGTCAGATTTAGGTACATTTCAGCTGACATAACCAGCCACAACATGACATTTTTTTGCCCACATTGGTTCAAAATCTTGCATGAATGGACAAAAAACTGCTTGTTAATGGAAACTTTGAACACATTAGGACACATCATAAGATTATAGATCTCTAAAATGTGGTAAGCATAGCTGAGATCATTCTATCTCTATAGAATTTGATAAGAAATGATTGAGTTCATGTTGAGATCTCTGATGCTGGACTTGGAATCTTGGTAAATCAGAACTCAGTTTGGGACGTCATTGAGATCTTTGAAACTTGTGGGATTACTGGGGTCTTTTTCACAGAAAAAGTCAATGTCTCCATTTGATCTCCATTTAAACTCATTGCTGTCCTGGGATTTTAAAGTGATCTCTTGTGATTTTTCTTTCCTGCAGGATGTGTCTGTGTCTATTGACACTCAAATAGCCTACTAGTGTGTATATGTGCACACAAATACAGAATGTGTTTGTGATTGACAGGCAAGGGGACAGAGGGTGCAATGGAGTGTGTGTTCTTTCCCCGTGAGGTAGGCCTCACCGCGCAACGAACTGACAAACACAACATGACATGGCCCCTCCCCTTGGTGCATGCTCACAGCAGCTAATTAAACAGAGCTCTCTCAAACACACACGTGCACACACACACACACACACACACATTGAATATCACTGTAAGGAATTTTAAGCACAGACACATAGTGTCAGACACAAACACAACCACATACACACAGGATGTGAGTTATTACCTACTGACCCACTGCCCTCAATCTCAAAAGGCTAAATGGAAAGCTGCAAGTGACAATGCCTCAATGCAGTCACCTGCACTAGAGAAAACACTGAACGTGTGAACCTGTCTGTTAATAGCTTCTCATTATGCAATGCAGTGTCGCGCTGTTACCCACGAGTGCAACAGCAGCAGTATTATACTATCAAACAACAAACCAAAACAGCACAATTAGTGAAGAAGTCTGTAAAGTATTTTAAGGATTCTGGTTCCAAACCTGATTCAACTTAACGCACCATCTGAATTTGATTTATAAATAAATTCACTTTTAGTTGTCAGAAAGATTATGCATGATAAACAAACAAGCTTAGGTGGCCTGAGGGGAAGTTACTTGCTAAATCTGTTCTTTACCCTCAGTTTAGATTTTGTTCACTAGTGCCAGTGGCGACATTTCTGCTAAATGATATTACTTTGCTTTTTGCATGTTACTTGACACTTTAAAAGTAAAATATCCAGTGAGTGGCATTAAAAGCATGTTCAGTTTTATCTGAAACAGATGATTGTGAATCTGGCAAAGTATTATTATGTTGGTTGTTGTACGTATCGCGGTACAGAAATGCCCGGTGATTTATCTCAAACATGACATACTAAATATGCATTTGCTTAGGCAATCATGCAGTTTTAACATACTTCTATCTTTAAGTCCTGGAGCTTTTTTATCATGAATTGTGTTTCACAGGACTCGAGCACTCAACATCACAAATGCAATTCTGTACCAGGTGCGCTACTGAGCAAGTATACCATGTCATAAATGCTATATAGAACGGGTTAAGTTATGCAAACGTCAAAGTGTATTAGTTTACAAATCATGCACATGGTAAAAATGTTTTAAGGCCATAACACAGTATTGTGCGAGTCTTTATTAAACAATAATCAGCTCCAATTTCTGTGAAAAGGAATAAAAGTTGGTGTATTACACCTCTAGTCTTCATTTCAGCTTAGAAACGTAAGTAAACTGTATGTATAAATATATTTTTGGAGTTTTGCAAAAATTTTGGTAGATGCATATATTTCTTATATGTAAATAAATAAATACATAAAATTCAGCATAACAGTGACAAAAGCCATGTGAGGAAAAGCCATGCAATTCTTCGGGATCTATCACATCCTCTTTATGGTGAATATGAGTTGTTAAAATCTGGTCAAAGGTATAGGGTACGGTTATTACGGACTGCCCGTGCACAAAGATCTTTTATATCTTCCAGTATAGATCTGTTAAATAAATTCTTGTGATATCACAGTTGTCATTTTACATCTATGGCAGTGATTCTGTTGTTGTGAGAGGGATGTTGTTGTTTTGCTGTTGGTTGTATTTGTAATGTGTTTTGTAATCTGTTGATGTTTGTTTGTATTTGTTGTTGATGATTGAAGGGTTACAGATACAAAAAGAATTTACAAAAGGACAATAAACTAAACTAAACCACGTCAGCCACCCAGCCAACAGCATAAATAAATAAATAAATAAATGTTATTTAAAATACATAAATATTATTTAATAACATTAAAATGTCACTGCACATAAATTACCTTTTGGATTAAACAGTGATTTTTGCCAAAGGGTGAGTATGCAGCACTGCCCTGAGCATGATAGCAGAAAATCTAGTGTGATGTTGTACAAAATGAAGATCTGGCTGCTAGCCTGTTAAATGCTACAAGACACACTGCCCTCCTTTATATACAGTAGACAAACACACACAAACACACTGCCCGCAGTGAGGGGCCCTGGCTGCCTGCCCGTGCGTCTGGGTGTCACTGTCATATGGAATCACGTTGTGGCGGCTGGTTGGCACGAGGGCAGAGGCAGGCGGGCGGAAACAGAGAGGAGGTGACATGACAGTGGGACAGCCGGGAACACAATGAGAAAAAGAGATAGAAAGAGGTTTTGGGGGTGTTTGGAGTGTCAATAACACTCTTCAAAGCTCCGGAGAGATTCAAACATTGACAGATCCTCTCTATACCAGCAGGCATTGAGGAACACAGTACAATCACTCAGCCTAACTATAGTCATTATATGTGCTAAGTTCCAAAATCTAGCGAAGTGCCTTTTTTTCTACTGTCTACACAGGCGGCTGTCCTCCACAACAGCACACTCACACACTAATTAATTGCGGTGTAAGAATGCGTGTGTCGACGTGACCTCCTCTTCTCCTGGCCTGCACTGACCCAAGTGCTAAACGACAGGAATCTGTCACATTCCTGGCAATAAAATAGATTAGAGGAGAATTCACAGCGCTCTAATTACATCCACGGCCTGTTGAATCCCCCCTGGCTGCTGCAGGATAGTCATGCCATTCACATCAACGATTGGCAGACACAGAACCAGTTTATTGACAGGCGCACACACACACAGTGTATGTACATAGATTTAGGATACTGTCTATAGGCCTGAACCAAGCAAACACACAGTGGAACCTTTGCAAGGAGATATGAAGACACGGCCAACCGCTTTGCGCTACCAAATGCATGTAATGCAATTCAGGCCAAGTGCTGATTAGGAGAGATAAAGCATAACTGGACTTCCTCACTGAGGTCAGATGAGTTCTCCTGTTTCCTGTTTATGGTTTGTGGAGTCGTCTGCTGGGTTGTGCTGATATGGGAGGCTTATCTGTTGTGTGTGTGAGATGCTGGCAAAGAGGACAAGGGAACAGGAGATACTTACTTTACTTTTTTCTGGGGTTCATTAAGGGGCCCGGAGCCAAGACCAGGGACTGATTTGCGTTTGCGTGGTCTACCAGGGCCACGACGTGCTGGACTGCGAGGAGTCTCCTCTTTCCTAAAGAAAAACATGGTTATCTTTTGCTAAACATGTTTTCATTATGAAGCGTGTAATTTCTGCGCACAATACATAGTTGCAAAAATAGGCAAATTATAATTTTTCAGACAAGTGATTATTTTTAGCATAGAATGACATTTGGGGTACTGACGCTTGTAAACGTTACTAGGGCAACCATAACTAGGGACACCTACTAGCAACCATTGCAGTACAGCTCTAGTGGTATGAATAGGGTTTTATTGAATAGAGTTTAATCTGCATGTAACCTAGGATTGGAGAAAGTAAGTTAACATAAAATTACACACTTCACTTTTCAAGGAGGACAAATTTGGACTATGAAGGCTTGTGTGTTCACACAGGTTATGTATAAAGAATAAAAAAAGATTTAATAGTTTTGTGATGGTGGGTAGTGCTTACTGGTGATCATGCTTCCTCTGGAGTTTGGCCAGTTCTTTCTGCTTCTCTTTGTAACGCTGTTGCAGCTCTGCTAACCTCACTCGCATCGCCAACTCCTGCCCATCCATACTGTCCATGGTACCTTTCACTGGGCAAACCTGGAGCAACCAAATCAAACAACCCTACCCTTAGTTGCTGGTCAGTTGCTCCAGTCTTGGATGACCTCTGTTTCTATCTCTGAGTTAATACAGTTCTGTTATCCTATTAACTTTTAGTTCATTACAGTCCTTAACTAGACTGAGGATGCCAATAAAGTAGGATGCAAATTACATATTTCTTATGTTCTCTTGGATAGGCTATATATTAAAAACTGAACAAATGTTCATGTATTCTAGCGTTGGGTTATCTTTAATAAGATAGATTATAAACTACATGAGGAAAACGCATATGAGAAAAAAACATGGATGTGTTACCGGCTCATGGCGAGGCGTCCAGCTGCATTTTCTGCGCAAGTTGAGAGTTCTTCGAGCAGGAAACTGCTTCTCAGCATCTGTGGTGCTGCTCTCCTGTGAACCCAATTCAAGGGCACGTGCTGCTGCCAAAGTAGCAAGACTCTGCAGGTCAAAAGTCCATTGATCTTCTTCTTTGATGAAAAAAAAGAAACACAACAATATATTATGGCTCTCATACTGTGAATTCTATCATAAATGAGCTATTTATCTGGCATCTACGCTACCTGGAAACAGGCATTGTAGGAAAGACTAAACTGAAGGGCTAATTTATGTCTTGATTTACAAATAACAGATCATTTACAAATATCAGATTATTCTTCATGAAACAGATGCAGATTTCTCTATAAGATATCACAGGAGGAAGGGCCTCCACATTCAGATAACACTGAATATTACCAAGACAACTATGTGATGTGTGCTTTTTTTTTTAAAAAGGGGTCATCGGATGCCCATTTTCCGCAAGTTGATATGATTCTTTAGGGACTTAATGAAAATTATAAAACGGATAGTTCCGGTCCTTGATTCTGATTGGTTGTGCCAAGTTCGAAGCTGTTGTAAATTACTCTACAAACATAAGGTGCGTCCCAAATCGCATACTTATGCACTATTCTATGACGTTTTGTAGTATAAATAGTGCGAGTAGTGCGTTCACACTGAAAATTCCAAAAAGAAAAAGTGGACTTTAAATACCCGGATGATGCACTTAAATAATCGAAAAAACGAAGTGTGGAATATTGGACACTTCATGCACTCAACTGTCGCAGCTTTAATTACGTAGCGAAGGGGGAGGGGCTATCAGACTCAGATTATGAATGACAAAATAACCATATATAATTCATACACTACATGATTGAGTACATAGTGCATAAGTACATAGTATATAAGTGCACCAATGTTTACATTTGTGTATTGCTCAGCAACCACTTTGTTGGAACCACAACTGTTTCTGAGGAACTACATTGTTTGGCTGAAGAATAATGTTTTTATTAATATCATTACACTTCATTTCAGTTTTATTTTGTGAAACCTTACTACGTATATGGAATAACCGTTTTATAAAAGCAATAAGCCACGTGGTCGCAGCTTTAATTACGTAGCGAAGGGGGAGGGGCTATCAGACTCAGATTATGAATGACAAAATAACCATATATAATTCATACACTACATGATTGAGTACATAGTGCATAAGTACATAGTATATAAGTGCACCAATGTTTACATTTGTGTATTGCTCAGCAACCACTTTGTTGGAACCACAACTGTTTCTGAGGAACTACATTGTTTGGCTGAAGAATAATGTTTTTATTAATATCATTACACTTCATTTCAGTTTTATTTTGTGAAACCTTACTACGTATATGGAATAACCGTTTTATAAAAGCAATAAGCCACGTGAAGCCGTGGTTTACAGTGAATTTATAACAGCTAAGGGTGTTATAAATTCACTGTAAACCACGGCTTCTTGGGGCTTATTGCTTTAATGTATAACATTCTTTGGTTAAAATTTCTCAATGGCAGTGTAAAACAACACCCTTTTTACCTGTCAAAATCAGCTCTGTCTTCAGCAAGCCGTTTTAGTCCATGTTCCTTTAAATGCTAATTTAAATTAAACTTCCGTGGGGTGACGAGCTCTCATGAGACTGTTTACTTCAGCTGCAGAACTTGCTAACTAGCATGTTATTAGGAAAGGCGATTTGCAAAGATTCATAAAAGAACCTTAAACTCACTTCTTCTGTAGGTGAGGCTGGATCACGAATTATTTGCACGAACATAAACGCATTTAGGCAGATCGGGGGGGCGCATTCCCTTAAAAAATAAAGCTAATCCACTGCGTCTTCAGTGGCTCAGATGTCTGGAGTAAATGACGACTGCTATGTTCATTATTACATACAACAACAGAACACCTCAATTGCTTAAGAGCCATTCTTGTCTACATCTGCTCCAGCGTCGAAACAATGGCAGACTGATGACAGCTCACTCAGGGCAGGTCTAAGGTATAACGCTAGCTTCAATCAACAATTGTGGGAGCGGCCAGGGTCTGTGTGACATCATACAGACAGGCATCAGAGATCGGCTCGATTTGAGAAAGGGTAAATGATTTAACGAGATAAAAAAAAAACACTGGGTGGATCTTTATCATTATAGGGTGGTTGTGTACGCACACTGCCAACACACATTTCAGCTCAAACTGCTTGTAAAAGTGCATGTCGCATCCGATGACCCCTTTAACAAAATCTACTAAAGCAACAGAGAACATACAGAAACAAATCAATAAAAAGTGAATATTGTATTCACAATTTTAGTAGATCCTCTGGGACTAGTTAAATAGTTAAAACTAGCTCTGACAACCACTATACATACTCTTGCATGAATAAAAAACATGATAATATGAGGGAAGCTTTAACAAGAGGTGAAATAGCTAATTAGCCTAGACAATGCTCTAGAGTGAAAACACCAACTGCTTTTGTGATTACAAACCAGCTTTTCACTGTTTAGTGACAAGCAGGACCACTGTTTGCAGAAATCTTAACAGCAGGAGAAAAGAACAGATGCGACACAGATATATGGTCCTTACAAGGGAAACAGTAGAGATTTTCAATGAAAATCTGGGTCCTGAAGCAAAACCATTGCCCTGAAGGAGTAAAATTGAACCTTTTTCTCCCTGCAAACTTTCCAATAACATACCTTGAGTTTTACCACAACTTTGTTGATACCGTTGCAGTTCCAGATCAGCCAGCTCACTCAGCAATTCCATGCCATGATATGAGGAGTTGAGTGGGCCACAGTATCTCTGGGATTGGTAAGTGGAAGGTGGAGAGGGAGGAGGACAGTCCCCACAGAAGGCTGCTGCAATCAGGAGCTCCAAACTCCAGTAACTTGTTGTGAGACTCTGGGAGCAGCTATTCGTTGTTGGAGATGGAACCTTCACACAGATTTTCACTTCATCTTCCTCAGTAACCACTGCAACATCTGCTTGGGCAGTGGTGTTTGGCAGCTGGTTGAGTGAACAATCAGAGACACATGGTTGTGGTATTGGTATTGGATCCTTCAGTGTGTCAATGTCTTCACTCTCTTGAGGAGGTATATCTTCACCCACTTCTTCGTCAAAGCTAACAATTGGTTCTTCTTGATGGATTACTTCCTCAGACGATAGGATAGTTACCTGTCCTACTTCACAGCCTGAAACTTCAGCAGGTGTGCAAATTATCTTGGCATGCTCCTTTTCCTGATTGTCCTCAATGGGTTCAAAGCAGCCCATGGCCATGACTGTCTTGACATCCTCCCCTTGCACAAACACACCCTCAGGCTGTTCTTCAACTAGACTAGTGGCATCAACGTCCATTGTTGGCTCTTGTGGTTCTCGGAGTGGCCTCACCATTGCATGACATTCCAGGCCCTCTCCCAAGCTGGAGAGAGCTGGAGGAGGGTGCTCAACAGGTTCAGTCTGAACAGCCTCCAGATCAGCAGGCTCTGCCAGCTGTACGTCTTGAGTGGTGGGGATATTCCTATATCCCATGTTGATTTCTGGATAGGTATATCCAGGTGGCAGATCTGTGACAGGGAATATAAACAAAGCTTAGTTGTGCAGCACTTAAAAAAATATCAGCATATGAAACGGTCTTATTTTTGACAACCTTAAAAGGGTGACATTTTTAATAAGCTTTGCACCAGAGATCTGAACAAGAACGCATTTCATTCCTCATGACAGCAACACTATGCCTTGATCTTGATTCAACTTTAAGAAGTGCAGCTGTTAAGGGGATAATTCTGAGGTAAAACAGGGCTCTCTTTCTGACACTGCTGTACCCTCTGGCACGCTGTAACTGTTAGTGAGGTGTTAATGATGATAAAGAGGGTGTGGGCTGGGGAGTGGGGGTGAGTCTGGACAAGGTGTTTCTCCATCATTACTGATGTGATGGCGCTGGGGAGCTGAGCTGTCAGCCATTTTCTGCATCTATCAGCAGCTTAGTCAATCGTGTTCCTGCCTATATAGCCGCCCACACAGAGCCACAGAGTCTAAAAAAAGCCCTGATTGTTTCTGCATGAGGGGCTCAGCATGAATAACAACCAACATATGGCTTATGTGTTTTTGAGACACAATGACTTGAAGCAGGCACCTAAGCCTCAAGACAAAGACACAAATCTAGAGTGAACGACCACACAAATTTCAGATCGCCTCTTGACGCTAAGACAGACAAAATTTTTCCAAGTCAACAAGTAAAAACATTGCATTGGATTTCTAATATTTATATGTAAAGGAGAATAACTCCTTACCAGGCTCCATGGATTGAGGATAGTCTTGTGGTGGCTGCCCTTCCACTCTCTTTTCCTGGGACTCAACAGTTTTGGGCATCTGTGATGGAGAAGGGCTGATGGCTGGTGAGCGGGGTGTCGCAGCTACCGGACTTGTGGCGGGGCAGGGAGTAGAGGGTGTGCTTTTAGGGTGAGGCCGCATACAAGGGGACTGGCAGCAGGGCGACAAGTGGGCAGTGGAGCCCCTGGGAGGTGAGGAGGCCTGGTTGGATGGGCCGTAGGCATAGCACTTAGCAGGTTTGGGAGTCCTGGGTTCAGACAAAATGTCTTCTAGCTCCATGCTCTGTTCTTCTGGCTTCTTTTGCACCTAGGCATTGAAAAAATTAGATGGGAAAATCCATAAAGAGAACTCAAGCCCCATAATGAGATCTGGGCAGTTTGGTTAATTTAAGGGAACTGACAAATATTCTGAAGTCCGCCAGGTCATGCAATATTCACATCAACGTAAATGCAATTTGGCACGCCTGTTTTGCTGAATCAGATTTTCATTTAGACCCTACTTGCTCAGTTCTATTGATTTAGACCTGCAATCAAAAAGAGTAGTGCTTGGCCCAATCTTACCACAGTCCATTGTTGGCTGCATTTGGTTGTGTATGTCTAAAATGTAACTGGACCTTGGAGGAAATTATGGATCCTAGGGAGCAGTTGTGGTTTTATAGGGGGATTTTTTAAATGAAACTCATGATTTATTGGCTCCAAATGTTGTTTACTCCCCTGCACACAAAAACGACTGTCTCGTTCCACAGAGAGGAGTGCATCCTCTCTCAGTATCAGGTGTCAAGCATTAGCTCATTTGAAAGCTCAGCTGTTTCTAAACCACTGCTGTACAATGGTTATATGAGGGGTTGTGTGTGTTTCGTGTACCTGGCTGTGGTCGGCTGTGGCTCTCTGCTGAAGCTCTATGTTGTTTGCTACTCTGTGTGATGGAGGTGGCGGCATGTGATGGCTGGGGTGTTGCTGATGCTGCAGCTGCTGGTGTTGCTGGAGAGCATAAAGCTCTTGTTGCCGTAGAAACTGCGAGCGAGGATACACAGCAGGATGCTGCATGTGGGAGTGGGCCGCTCGGGCCCTGTAGACTGGGGGCCACAGGCCAGGCTGCTCCATCACATCTAATGAGAGAAATAGAAGTGTTAGTGTTGTGTGAAATCACGTGGAAGGCCATGTTAGGCAACAGAATGTTAATATATCTCACATAGGGTCTCACATAGAGATCATCACCTTTACCTTTACCATCTTATGAAAACAAGCTATACTGAGGATATTATTTCTAATGAAAACTATAAAAACAACAACTAGTAGTGAAGTAGTATAAGGTATAGATACAAAGGTTTGGATAATTTAATATTGTTTTTTTCAAAAATAACTTCCCAAGTAGACAACAAGGGCCCTTTGTGATATGTTGAAGGCATGGTTTACTCAAAAAATGTGAAGTCTGTCATCATTTATTCACCCTTACATTGTTCTAAGCCCATGTTACTTCCTATCTTTTGCTGAACACAAAAGATGATGTTTTGAAAAATGTTGGTTACTAAACAATTTTGGTTACCATTGACTTCCACTGCATGGTCAAAAAACAAACAAACAGATTTTTTTTTTCAAAATCTTCTTTCATGTTCCACAAACAGTCATACATGAGGGTGAGTAAATGATGAAATTTACATATTTTCATCACAGGATATATTTCAAAAATTCAATATCATTCAAAGTATTAAAACTAAAACTAAACTGAAATTGAAAACAAAAAAGCAAAATAAAAAAATGAAATACAAATAATTTGAGACCTTGTGAGATTTTTATATCTATAATAACTCTGGCCTACACTGAGTGCATGGGAGAGAGAGGCCCATCAACCAGTACTCCCACGCTCTTTTCGGTGTCTTGCTCCCTGTTCACCACTTTTGTTTTCTCATACTAACTACATTCCTCCCTCATTTTTCTCACACTAGAAGTCTCCAACCCAAATGTGCAGCCGCGTGAGCACAGAATGATAGATGTTTTCAATAATAATTATTTGATTAAGATGAAAGTGAACAAATGGAAGCAGTTCCCATTAGAATAAATATTAGCATGAGAAGCTTGGCATTTGACAAACTATATTCACTCCCTTGAAAAATCCCCTTCTCTGAAAACCACAGTGGACCCAGACTACAGCATGTAGTCTAGGCGACTTCTTAGTTCCCATGTCAGGGATAAACTCCTGCCGTTCCCCTGGCAGGAACAGAAATCCAGCCGTGTACATCTTCAGTCCCTGCCTCCGCAAGTCAAATGTGTTTTCTACTCTTCCCATTTCACATAGCATCCTTAATGTACATGTTCAGCCTGACCCCTCTTCTCCCTCCCCTGTGCTTGCCTTGACGCATCACGGACCTTTGCTCTAGAACATTAACCCAGCTTAACTAATGTTTCCCGGGGGAAGGCTTTTGTGGATGCACTTCCCCTTTCAGCTGGAATTCCTGTGGAGCACGGAAGGAAGTGTGCCTTCGAAGACATGAAGATAATTAGATTTCACAGCCTGTTTGCAGAGCAGAGGCCTGTGTAGACTTATAAGGCTAGGAGGTATTCTTACGTCAGCGTGTTTTAGAGCACATATGGCAATAGCTTTGAGGGGGGTGGTGAAAGCATCCTGACCCAGACCATGTGGGGGTGGAGCAGGTGGTTGACAGGAAACTGTTTGTGTGATTGTGTGCATATTGTGTGTTTTCCTCTTGCATGTTTCTGCTATTTCATCTTAGCAATTTTATTGGCTGTTATTCATAGCTGCTCTCTCATTCATTGGGACAATGTATACACCTGAAGAATAGTCGACTAGACTTCAAACAAGTCTGAAATTATAAAATCCACTGTATTTCCTGCAACTAGACAAAGCATGTTTTCGAAATGATCACACTATAAGAACATCAGTTACAAGTTTGAGTCGTGTAGTGTGGACTTGGTTTAAAGTGAACTTATATCCTTGAAACTTGAGTGGAATCACTGTTATAGAGCATAATTTTTCAGGCTTGGCAACCTGACAGTAAAATCTTCACGTAGAAACCCATGAGAGCTGCTGTGTGTCTCACAAAAAGAATGAATGCTAAATCTGACAAATGGGTCAGGCTCAGCAGGGCAAATAAATTGAGGATATGGGAGGAAATGAGAATACTAGGCAGAAAACACCATGGTATACCAAGGTGAGTAGCCGGGTGTGTGGCAGGCTCACTGGGCAGCACCACCAGTTGGGTGGAGGGGTCCTGGGGCAGGGGTAGAACTGGCTGAAGAGGGGCAGGCATGGCTGCAGAAAACCCAGGAGGGAGATTCTGATGCAGAGCTGTGTGACCAATACCTACAAAACATAAGACAACTTTAAGGATACAACAAAGTTTATAATTTTTAAAACACATTTATTAGTAGAAACCGAAATGAACTTATGAACCTCACAATGATCAAAAAAGGAACAAGAAAAAGACTGAAGACTCATTCTATACTCAACATTACTGACCGTAGGAGTGACCTGTCATCCATAGTGAGGGACTTCCTGTACGTGGCATCCAGTGGTGATGAGCAGAGTGTGTATGTGCAGCTGGGTCTCCTAATTGGCTCGACTGCATGGAAGTTCCACCTGGCACCATGATGTGAGAGGTGAGGTCACCATGGCAACTGTTTGAGGGATGGATGTGTGCCAATTCGACCCTTTCCTTGTTATCCCTGCAAAGCCAGATCGGAAACAGGTGAAAGGTCAGGACTTGAGCATGTGTGACAAGTGAAAAAAAGTGTGTGAGGGGTGGATCATTCACCTAATATACACGTCTCGTTCTCTCTCTAGGCACCGGTGGCCCATGTGTTCCACGCTCATCCTTTTCCTCTCCTCTTCTCCAGTTGAATCTGAAGGATACATGGAGCGTGGAGTGCCTACAAAATGGTTAACAAATTTACATCAGTGATTTTCTCTCATCTGCAACTCTGACTGTCTTTGGCACTCAGCATGCAAACAGCTGTTGAGCAGCCTTTCTCTACAGTGGCATGTGCTCTTTCTCCCCCTGCACTGGCATTTTTAGCTGTAAGAGGAAAAAGCTGTTTCCACTTTGGGTCTTGGCAAGTTCTGCTATTTATTTTTCATCAGTGAAGTCTTCCAGAGGTCACGAATAAACAAACTGCTCTGCGTCCCTGCCCATTGTTTGTTTAGGAAGGCCCTGACAGATCAAAGGTCAAGCTTACCTTTCATGGTGGAGTGCACCCGCCCCTGTCGGCTGCTGGGATGGCTGCCTGATGCTTGGCATGGAGGTTCTCTCTGTCTTGCCACAGCAACTGCAATCCCTACCGGAGGCTGTCGCACCTCCCCCTCTACATGTGGGACATCTCCTATCTCTCGGCCACGTCCACCACAATCAGCTCTCTCGCTTTCATGGCTTTGGCCTTTCCTGGAGGGTAGGGTCTGCTTGCCTCCCTGTATAGAGCAGCTGGTGCCATTAGCTGCTGTTTTGAGGTTCCCAAGCCCTCCAAATGGGCTCTTTTGGGACAGGAGGAGAGGCTGCTGGTTGCTGTACTTCAGAAGGTTCTTCATGGCACTGTTCTCTCCCTGTGAGCTTGTGATCTCCTGCTGGTTTTGAGGAGGAGCTGGATGAAGGGGAGGAGGAGGAGGAGGACCCATTCCTGCCGTCTGGTGCTGCTGTTGTGTGGGTGGTCTGTTGTTGGCAGCTCCACTGTTAGGTTCCATGTAAGCTTTATGCTGGTTCTCTTCAGAGCGGATGTGATGAGATTGCATGGCCCAAGGTGGCACTGATGTATGCTGATGTGGGTGATGCTGCACATTGTTGTTGTAGCCGTAAGGAGACATTTCCATCTTCCGCTTCATCTCCTGGTTCCCATTAGCCTGGGCCATGTCTGTGCCAGGGGTATCGGGGCCAGCCCTACTGTGCTGTTGGTGGCGAATGCGGGCAACCTTCTGTCCATCTCGCTGCATAGAGCAGCTTCCATGTCCTCCTCCACCCGTGTGCTGAGTCATGGTCTTCCCAGCAAGAGGTGAGGGAATGGTTGGAGGCCCGGAGTGTGAGCAGTCTCTGTAGGGCTGAGAATTGGTGTTGGTTTGGTTGGGTAGAGGATGAACTGTCTTTGACTCTTGAGTAAGTGTAGATCTGAACATGTCTGTTTCCATACTGTTGATGCAGTCAGCACTGCGGGAGCGCACAGTCTGGTGTTGCTGGGAATGGCTTTGCTGCTGCTGTTGCTGCTGTTGTTGCTGTAGGTGATGGTGGTGGTTGTGGTTGTGCATCCAGTCAGGTGCTTTTTCAGCTTTTCTGTAGGGATGCTGCTGCTGGGTTGGAGGTTGATGCTGTTGTTTCCTGGGCCAGTTACCATGATGCCCCCCATTGCCAATCTTTTCCATGGCCTTGTCCTTGACACTGTTCCCTCCGCCCCCAACCCCCTGGCACTCAGAGTTGCCCATCTGGAAGGGGCCTCCGGTTTTCTCCCCAAGGTGGTTAACAGATGGAATAAATGTGGCTCCAGTCACTTTGGAGTCTCTGCAGCCACCATTATTGATTCCTTTATCATGTAAGGAAGGATTTCCCATAGGGGCTGGCGGTGGAGGGCAGAAAAAGTCAGGGTGATGGTGTGAGTGGCGATTTTGGTGTGGGTGATGGGGGTGGCCAGGATGGAGCTGCAGACAGTGGAAGCCACTTGGATGCCCCCCTCCAGCAGCCATGGGCAGTGGAGGAGGCACTGAGTAGGGCAAAGAATGCTGCAAAGCCTGACCTCGCTCCAGACAGTCTGTAGGAGGCTGTTCACTGATCCGCATCTCCCCACTTATCGCCTCTTTACCACAGTGCCCGTTAGTGCCACCTCCCACGTGTCTGTTTTGGACATTATTGGACCCTACATTACCTCTAACCACCCCATCCCCACCGTAAGTAGTCATGGAGCCTTTTGCCCCTGTTCCATGGTCCCCATTTAGCATCTTTCCATTAAGCAAACAGGCACTAAGAGGCTTTCCCATGCTCTGTGGATGTTCCTTATACTCAATAGGCAGAGTGGCTTTGTGTCCCCTGCCGTTCATCTCTTCCATAGTGGCTGGATGTTGTGGGTGGAGCTGGGGTTGATGGGAGTGATGATGGGGTAGTTGGTGGTGATGGCGGTCTTTAGAATCATGTTTATTACTAGGTCTGTCTTTATCTTTTGCAGCTGAAACCACACCTCTGTCCCATGGCCTTGTCCTTGACACTGTTCCCTCCGCCCCCAACCCCCTGGCACTCAGAGTTGCCCATCTGGAAGGGGCCTCCGGTTTTCTCCCCAAGGTGGTTAACAGATGGAATAAATGTGGCTCCAGTCACTTTGGAGTCTCTGCAGCCACCATTATTGATTCCTTTATCATGTAAGGAAGGATTTCCCATAGGGGCTGGCGGTGGAGGGCAGAAAAAGTCAGGGTGATGGTGTGAGTGGCGATTTTGGTGTGGGTGATGGGGGTGGCCAGGATGGAGCTGCAGACAGTGGAAGCCACTTGGATGCCCCCCTCCAGCAGCCATGGGCAGTGGAGGAGGCACTGAGTAGGGCAAAGAATGCTGCAAAGCCTGACCTCGCTCCAGACAGTCTGTAGGAGGCTGTTCACTGATCCGCATCTCCCCACTTATCGCCTCTTTACCACAGTGCCCGTTAGTGCCACCTCCCACGTGTCTGTTTTGGACATTATTGGACCCTACATTACCTCTAACCACCCCATCCCCACCGTAAGTAGTCATGGAGCCTTTTGCCCCTGTTCCATGGTCCCCATTTAGCATCTTTCCATTAAGCAAACAGGCACTAAGAGGCTTTCCCATGCTCTGTGGATGTTCCTTATACTCAATAGGCAGAGTGGCTTTGTGTCCCCTGCCGTTCATCTCTTCCATAGTGGCTGGATGTTGTGGGTGGAGCTGGGGTTGATGGGAGTGATGATGGGGTAGTTGGTGGTGATGGCGGTCTTTAGAATCATGTTTATTACTAGGTCTGTCTTTATCTTTTGCAGCTGAAACCACACCTCTCTCTAAGCTAGGCTCTTTAAGACCCTTTTGTAGGTTCATCCCACTTCCTGCATCTCTGTCCCTGCTGCATGAGCCCTGGGGTTGTCCGGATCCTGTCCTTGACATCGGCTGGATGTTGTGATTGGCTGAGATGAGTGGGGGCTGGGACGGGAGGCTTCTTAAATAGAAGTTCTCTGTAAAGTAGATCAGATAGCGCTGTTAATCATTTAAACTAGCGCCAACTTAAGCTTTCCTTGAGGGTCAATTCATGGAACTATGTCAGAACTATCATATTTGGAGACTACAACAGAGAAGTAGAGCTGCATATAAAACATGCAACTTAATCATTATAACGGTTTATGAAATAAGCAGAAATGTCAAATCCAGAATTATTATTTTGCCCACCTTTTTGTGTATCATAGAAACGATGTTGTCCATAGAGGACCCCACTGTTGGCATGGTGATCCAAATGGCTTATGGGAAGAAAGGTGTGGGCTAGACTCCCTGAGAAGCGAGGATACCCTGGGACTGCTGTAAAAAAAAAAAAAACAGGGTCATAATATTAGTGGAAATGTCTATAAAAATAAAATTACAACACATAAAATACAGTAGCAAAAGAAGAAGTGAACGTAAGAGTGTGAGAAGTAGGAGAGAGAGCAATAAGGCAAGGAAAGCTCTGATAACAAGACAATAATCACTGAACCACATTTATTTTGGCCGTAAGCATTTTGGTCCAGATCTAATCCCCCTGTTCCAATGCAGCTGGTGTTCCATATTCACCAATAACCACAGGCTTTGGATGTCATATTTGCCATTCCTATTTGGGTTTGCAATGCAAACAAGAAGACAAGTACAGTCCTGGGGATTCAAGTAATGGATGAATTTGGTCTCCTGAACATATGGTTCTCACCGTGCTAATCTCACAAAGTTCCCAGTGCTGAGGTAAGAGATAACAAAGTAAAACAATAAGCAAAGCGTCCTCACAGCAGAACATGTGGTGATTTGAGAAAAAGGCCAATGATCAACTTTATTTCAGCTGTCTCGACTCTCCAAAATTTGTGACTAACACAACAAAGCCAAGGGGAAAGAATTTACAAGAAAACCAAACACCTTTCAAGCACAAGCCTTTGAAACTTAGTAAAGGAGAAGACCTTAACCTTTAAATATGTGATAAATGTTAGCCTCATAACGTTCTGGGACAATTATAGTTCTCTGATAGACTGTGACATTTAAAATACTTACACGAGAGTGATATTTATGACATTTTTCAGAGTGCATTACATTACTGAGGAAAAGAAAATATTTCCTGATCTACCAAAAACAGTTAACCTGCTGCAACCTGGATAGTACTATGTCTATAAGTGGAGATAGGGTGAAGTAATAATTACCAGAGCCACACAGTTATTTTTCTGTCAATTTGTTTGTTTGATTGATTGATTGATTGATTGATTGATTGATTTTTTTCTTCTTCTTATTATTATTATTAACAATTAATTTTACTTTCAGGCCGGGAAGGATAACCACATCTTTTACCTTCTATAAATTACCCTGAAAAAAATAACAATAGTAAATATTAATAGTAATCTGCAAACTGCCCTGACAGCCAGTGAATCTGCCATGAGTAAAGGGATATTTCACCCAAAAATGAAAATTCTGTCATCTTTTACTTAGCTAAAGTTGTTCCAAAGCTGTATGAATTTCCTTCTGCTGACCACAAATATATTTGGAAAAATTGGTAAATACAACAGTATCTGGTCCCCATTGACTTCCATTATATATATATATATATATATATATATAGAATAGAATGAAAAAAACTGGACAGGTTTGGGATGACATGAGTAATTTATTTATTTACTCCGTTTTTAAAAACGTTTATTTATATACTCTGTTTATTTATATACTCCATTTTTTTATACGTACAGAGGAAGGTGATAATTGCAAGCTCTATTTTTATTCTCACTGCCTGTCAGCATTAATAAGCACATTCATTTATGCCAATTCATTTAAGAATTGGAAAAAAAAATAAGGCTCCCTTTGAACAATCCATTACTTCTGTGGGTTATGCAAAAGTGTGATACAAGCTTGCGTTATGCAAATCAGTCTTCGGATGTTTCTCTGGTGTCTTTGAATTTCTGTGCGTGACACTTGGCAGCGTAATCCCGTTTCACAGTGACGTCTGGTTGCGCCTGATAGTGGCTGGTTGCTCGGTGCTAGGCAGAGGCCGCTTAGGGCAGGTGAGCAGGCACCGCTGGGCATTGCACTGCACATTCAGCCGTTAATCTGGCCAGGACAAGGGAAGGTGCTGTGCCAGCAGGCTAGATGAGGCAGGTTTTACTGCTTAGTGCTGACATTAATGCTGCTAACACTGTTGCACTCACAGAGACGGCAGCTGTCCGTAAGTGATTGACACCAGCTCACTCAGCACATGCAAAACTGTTATTATCTGAGCAGGATGCTACTGCAGCTTATTGCAGAATATTTACAGGAAAAACTTTGGAGGCTTTTCTCCGAATCAGCAAAAAAAAAAAAGAGCTAGAGGCTCACTGTACCTTAACAGTACATACCAGGACCATAATACATCTGGAAGCATGCCGATGCTATTTTTTTAGAACTTTCATATGGTTTTGCCATATTTTTTTTTACCAGTTCAGTCCTCCTGGAGCAACTTGATATTAAATGCCTTGCTCACAGATACAGTGCTGATAGCTCATGGCTGCTGGCTTGAATTCAGGATGCATAATTCAAATTGTAATCTGAAGTAGCATAAAAAATGTGGAACTGCTATTACTCATTAATTACTTATTATAATTATCCTTTTTTAATTATACAAATATTAAAACAATTATTTGATATTATGGTAAAATAATTTATTATATCATCAAAAAAAGTCTAGAATTTATTATAAGTTATCTGAAAACAATGTGGTGTACATTTATAGTGCGGAATGGTTCTACTATCTTTCTTAATTATTTTGACTGTGCAGAACCTTGTGATTTTGCTGAACTTCTTTTAGTTACAATTCAGTAGATCCCAGTAAAAGCACCTAATCGAATAGGCTGATTCCAAGACAATAAAGCTGTTATTAAGCGGGCAGATTCTTTGAAGAGAGCTGGACCTTCTACAAATGCTAATGGTACACAATTTGCACATTCCTGCTAATCCTATCTCTCAATCTTCCTGTTCACATGGACAGCCAATCGTTCTCGCTGTGTCTGCTCATGACAGCGCATACAAGCACGCATCTGTAAATAGCCCAGAGTAAATTGTTTAAGGAGAGACAGAGAGGGGCAGATAAAGCTGCCTGTCGAGATTGCAAATTGAGAAGAAGTGACAGAGCAGTACCAAAATGGCAGAGGGTGGAGAGGAAAGACAGAGGAGGATGGGAGGAGGTGAATGGTAATCATCAGGACTGCTAATTGAAAGGAAGTGATGGAGCCTGGCAATAGAGGAGGGGGAGAAGACGACAGTCTGCATTCTACTGACAGAGAAAAGACATGATTGGATTGAGAGAGATGAAACAAGTGATGCATGAGGGCTATAAAGAGGCATAAGCCCTTCTTCCACCACTAGGGACCTGGTGGCCAATCTGCAACTGTTCCACCATGAAAAAGGTGATTCTTTGCCAAAAAACCCCCCAAAAACTGCTAACATTAGGCAACATCAGCAACAACAATTTTATAATTATAATCAACATAGCTAAACTGGAAATGTAATTTGGCAATACAACACATGTTCAAATGACAGATCTTCCAGTTTTTTATCTATGTTTAAAATAATTTTATTTGCAGCAGCTTGTGACAGCATAACAATTACTTTAGATATTAAAATACGTCACAATTTGTAAAACCGCAAGTTGGGATTGTTATGTTTGGTTCTCAAGTCAGTGGAGAAACTATCATTGCCAATCTTTGAACATCCAAGCACCAGCTCTGGCACAAGAGCCAGCATCATTTTATTAAAATAAACATTTGGTAGAAGAAAGCAGAGGATGGCAGCCTCTGTTTGGCACAGTTAAAACTGTCATTTGGACAAAGACCAGCTGGCAATGTGCCTGCTGGGCTTTCCTTGTGTTTTCTGTATTTCAGTTTCCCCCTTCTACAAGAAATTTAATATACAGTAGTTGTTGTTTATGAGCTGAACGTATGCTACTGACTTCATACGCACTGTTGTGACATTATGTGGTCATGCATCAGTAGATTAATACAGTTGCAGTCAACTCCTTTGAGAGTCAAGTCCCATAGGAACCAAGGGCAGTTTTGCAGAAGTTAAATGTTTATCTAATACCAGCTTAATCCAATTTTGTTACTACAAAATTGTACAATTTTTATTTAAAACAGCTAATGTAATGCATGTCAATGCAAAATGTATTTGGCAACTACAGAATGGCGATTTGTCTTTAAGACATAGTTTTCAGATTAGCATCTGATGTGTCCTTGGGCATTACAGTAGTCAGGAAATTCATAAAACTGTGATTAAAGAGCTGCTGCAAATTGACATTTTTCATATTTACATTTTGTTAGATTTATGTTTATGCTTGTTTGCAAGAAGGGTAAAATCCTTAATTCAAGATATATGCTTGAATAGACTTAAAGATATATCCTATGAAAAACAAATGATACTCGATTTGCTTGTCAAGTAAATTTATACTGGAAAAAAAATAAAAATATTTTTAAGACAATAACACACCCCACGGTGCTACACAAAATATTCAGAAATAAGTTTCATTGATATGTTGAATGCCATAATAAACTGTTCTTAGATGTTGCGGCATAGGGAATTTTAGGATATCTTCAAAGTACTCTTGCAGATACGCTTATGTTGCTGCTGGCGGGAGACTCCGTCCCACAGGGTGCAGAGAATAGGCTGGGTAATTGTGCTTCTCATTTTGATCACTTGCTTTTTTATGCAAACTGAAGAAAAGACAATTTGCAATTATCTTAAAGAGGAGAGAGGATGGCAAGCCAGGATTTAATCACTTTCACACCACGTTCTGCACAATTAAACTGCAATACAGATAATAGCTTGCTATCATAATCCCACTCATAATCAGCCTTATTACTTAGTAACGTAACCATTATCGTCATAATTCTTATTAAAACTGTCCAGTTTTTGGGAAGATGATCAATGTGCCATTGGCCAAAGGAACAAACCAACATCTCTGGGTTTTCGTCTCTTCATGGCCTGGCAGGTAGTGCACGTTTTGTCACACTGTGCGGTGCACATATGGGTAGTCATGTCTTGAATATCGGTGAGCTAGTCCTCTACTTGTCCTAGCCTTAGAAGTAACACCCACGGACCATCTGATGCATATTGCACATAGAAATGGGAAAAGGTTTCACAAAATTGCATTCGGACTGGCTGGCTTTGTGTAATTTCCTGGAGTCAGGGTTCACTGGCTTTTATCGGGCTGCCAACAGTTTACCAGGCTTCTATATTAAGATGAACAAGAAAGAACAAGTTTCTGTATTTGCCTTGGTTTGTGAGGTTTATGGCACCATTTAACCTGTCTTTAAGTCTCAAAACTGAACTCGACTTGTTTTAATTGGTGGTCCTTGACCAGAAAAATCTTCAAAATGGATGATTGATAGGCACAATAAGGTAAGTCATCTCCACACACCTCCTCCAAGTGTGAACTTCAAATGGAACAGGGTTGTCTTCCACCAAACCAGATGGGAGGATATGTGGAGAAAAGAGTGAAAATAGACTGGGGTATAGTGATAACAGGCATGGGGATAGTGCTGCGCTCAGACAGGCTGAGTTTGAGGATTACACAAACAACACACGGATGAACTCCTAATGGTTTATGACTGTTTGGCACATTTGGACGTGGCCCGGAGGGGATTTATGTGTGAATAAGTGCCGAGTGGCATTGGGCATGCCTGGGCATCTCCTACTCTTGCCGTCTCTCTCTATATTGCTCTCTCTGCGGAGCTGTAGTAGTCTGTCATCTGTAGGGATCTGGAGCCAGTGCTGGAGAAGGCCGGCTTTTGATTTGGCAGGCTGAGGGCTGGGTGTGGCTCAGGCCAAGCTAGTATAAGCCATGGTGAGAAAAGCCACATTGGCTTTTACACGACAGCTGCGATGCTGTTGACCATTTAGCTTGTTCTTCCTCCAGTGTTTTGTGTGTGTCTGAGTTTGCACGTTGTGCGCATAAATTCTTGTTGATGCACATCACAGACCACAAGATTCTTTGGCTGAACTTTTGTCCCCTTTCTGCACTGCCGAAAACCACTGGGGCGGCACATTTCACAGTGCATAACAAAGAGAGAGCTGCTTCCTCTTGATGAGAAAGTTCAGAGGCACAAACACATGGATGGACACATATCCAGACAGACAGATGAGCAGGTGAGTGGAACGGAGCCATCTTACCTTCATGTGAGTGGGGGAACCAGATCTGAGAGGCGCTGGAGTGAGGACCCCCACGATAAGGAGGAGAGGAGGGAGAGGACGGTGGTCTGGAGGGGTGTGGTGGGTGTGAGGGAGGAGAGCCTAGACTGCTGGCCAGGAACGTCCCCATGAAGGTGGTTGAGGAGTTTCCCATCAGTCCACTGCCTGTGTAAAGAGGGGAAGGAAGGTGGAGTGGGTTAGGTGTGCTGATTGGCACGTGAACAATGTGTTGTAGCATGACAGTGGACATATCTGAGCATAAGGATTCAAAGACTTAATAATACAATTCTTATTGTCTATACACTCTTGGCTTTCTTTTGGAGCTTGTTCGGAATTTGATTATCAGCATAAAGTCTAATGCAGTGTTTCCCAACCCTATTCCTTGAGGCACACCAACACTGCACATTTATGAACTCTTCCTAATCAAACACACCTTATTCAACCCATCAGCTCAGTAGAAACTCCAAAACCTGAAATGGATGGGTCAGATAAGAGATACATCTGAAATGTGAACTGCTGGTGTACCTCCAGGAACTGGATTGGGAAACACTGGTCTAGTCCACATTGTTGAATATTCTGGCCAAGAGCCACCAACTTATACAGGAAAGGGCATTAGAACAACATATTCATTAAATCACCACCTTTTGCTTTTTTACTTAATGTTTAATGGCACATAAATCTGAAATAAATAGAAATGTAGAATAAACTGTTGTGCTCAAGGATATCTTTTTTCCTTATTACAAAGTACCACGGACAATCCTTTTTAGTATATTTTTTCCACTTTCTATGTAGTAAAAGGTCTGTAAGATGGTGTGTGTTTTAAGCTGAGACTAGTTATTGGGTTGCTTTTTTAAGCAACACATATATAAATTGACTTGCTTGTGCCCAGGAAGCATGTCTGATCAGTTCAGAGGTTAGCTGGTAATGTCTGCCAGATCCATTCATTCTCCACAACCAAGAGTGGACACCACCCATTCAGCACACACACATACATACTATAGTTTAGCCCTGGGACATCAGAGATACGTCAAGTCATCACTGGACAGATATCTCATCTCACAGATGAATGCACACCCTATCTTTCTCTCCTTTCTTTCTCTTTCTCCTGTGAATTCCCTTCCCAATTTTTCCTCCCCCTTTCTCCATTACCCTCTTCTTCTTTTTTTTTTTGTCGTTCACTCTCACTGCCTTAGTTTCGCCCTGAACCCTACTCTCTTTTTCTCTTCATTTCAGTCAGCAGCCTTCTTCACTGTGGTACCTTCTTCTGTCCTGATGGAATTTTCCACCATCCTCCAGTCTCATTCTCACACGCTCTGCATATGAAGAATCCAAAAATAACAATCAGCTGCATTTCGACCTCAGAATTACAGCATCAGTTTGACACCCTCCAGAACATCTCCATGTTTTTCTCTGCGGGTCCAAAGAATGTGCAAAAACACATTCTCGACCACTGATTTGGAGAGAATATTAGCATGGTGAGATCCTCACAAGCCTGACCTAAACAAGCTAACACTTTATACAGAATTTACAACCTTAGTAAATCAGCATTTTAACCTTTGACTCTACATCTTCAGTCTGGCATCGTAAATCCTATAGTCTTGGCCTTAGCCTGCATCATAATTACACAAGAACATTTTATGGCGACTACAAAATGTAGTGAGTCCTTTCTGAGCTCTCACTATGACCCTGTTTGCCTCTATTCGTAGTAGCTGCTAGAATTATATCAACCCTTGCATTTGCCAGCTAGACAAAGATGAGTAATTGACCAGTCAGAGCAACACCCCTGTAACTGCTTGATGGACTATTATTCACTACAGACAGAGAGAGAGAAAGACACATTGATTAAGCATGGTTTTAATCGTACTCCCAGTTTTCCACTTGTAGATCTCATGATTTTATCTTCTGAAGTTGTGGTATTGGATACATATGCCGCATGGGGATGCTGGAGCCAATCCCAACATCTCAGGCCAAAGGCAGGAAAACACTGTGAATGGATGTGAATGCCAGTCTATTCATGTCTTTAAGCAGAATAATCTGCAAAGTGGACCAGACTTTTGCAAATTGTGAAAAATATGGCAATCGTTTTATTTTAACCTTCATTCTGTGAGAGTGTACAATACACAACAGAAACAGTGACCACCACAGTGAACTGTACAAATATTTGCAGCCTTACTTTAAAATGTTCAATACACCAAGCTTATGAGCTAATATTTCAATCATATATAGCCAAACACAAAAACGAACAGGCGAGGCTCCAAACAAAACACATGAACAACACATGAACCTCAGCAAGTCTGATGTTAACAGAACACAGACGTCTCACTCTGACTCCACGCAACAGAGCAAAACAAGGCCACTCCAATGTCAAAGGCAATCAAGTGTGATCACAGAAGAACAAAGGACAAAAACACTAATGTACACTTTGCAGTTTATCCCATGACCGATAAGCATCCAGGAAACTGGAGGTGGAGGGAAATGGAAGTGGCCTTCTAAGGAACTAACAGAGGGAGTATTGTAATTACAAACTTTAGACAGCCACCCACTCTCTGTCCTGCCCTTCATAGTATCCAACTAGACAAATGTTGGCCGTACCAAGACACTGGGCAGATGAAAGACAGGACAGAGACTTTACCACTCCCCATGCCCCACCCATTCACATTAACTACATAATCCTAATTCAGCATAACCCCACCTGTTGTTTGATTAATTGGTCTGGACAAACTGTAGTCAGAACAAACACCAAGTCAGGGTCACTGCCTCAGCCACACATTCAAAATGCTCATTTGGAACGCAATGCAGATTTCCTACTCAAGAAAAAGCTACTGAGCTGATAGGTAGAGGTGTAAACACACAACCAGGGGTGGATGCCAATGAAAACGAGCTCTGGAGTGGAACACAGACCATGGGGTTTATTTAGCAGGTTATTAAAAGCAAGACGAGGCTCTGCTCAGCTAAGCCAACACTCGTAATGTACTTGTTTTTCTGACCCGACACTGTTTACATCTTAGGTCATGCCAGTCTGGTGCTACCTTGAAAGCTTAAGAAACATACAGGTCATTTGCATCATAATCGGTGCCGATCCGTGACAACAAATATTAATACTATTATATCATTTTATATAAAAAATCCCATTATATCTGAAAAGCACGGATGGACTGCCGACATCAATGCACACACGAATAAGCGAATCCTTGAATCCCCAGGAACCACACATACACCTACAGGCTTGTAATAACCAGCGGGGTCTTGGCACATCCTATGTGTACACACTGGATCTCATGTGCCGCCACAGTAGATGCCATGGCCCTGCCACCCGTTAACGGAGGCAGGAAGATTCATTCAGCTCCTAGTCAGCTCAGAGGGAGGCGTCTGATGGTGCTGTTGTCATGGGGATGGCAAGAACGGGAAAGATGAGTGAGAACAGCATGGCCTCATCCAAACCAGACGCTCTGTGGGCTGAGCCGGTCTGGGGTGTTGGTAACTTGCTCTTTTACACTGATCTGATGAAAGTTGAGCAGTTTGTCTTCTATTGGTGGAGTGAAGCCTTAGAGGGCAATAACTGATCGTAGGCCTGTGTCAAAGGCGGTAAGTAACACTTAGACATGACATCGTCAGTGTGTGTGTGTGAGTTGGTGAGTGGGTGAGCATGTAAATTGGAGGGGGCCGGTCAGACAGCGGTCCCAGTCTGACCAGTACCAAAGTGAGTCAAGCTGGAGTGATTCCAGGGCTCATGTGGGAAGAGGAGGAAAGCACGTGAAAAAAAAAAAGGGGGGGGAGGGATCGGGTGCACATGCTTCCGACACTCCACACTCAGTGCGTTCTTGTCAGCTGAGTATGGATGAGGTCCGTCCGTGGGTGTTGAAGAATGGAGAGAGAGAGAGAGGGGTGTTTACTTAGAGAAGAGTAGGATAAAGTGAAAAAAGTGACAAAACGATAAGGGCAGAGGAAGTGGTGAATTTGAGGCTGCATGTGTGTGAGGTGGCAGCCAGTGTTTGTACAGTGGCTTGGTGGTTAGCCACGAAACTCAGAATCAAAGAGGGTGGTGTGACAAGTATTTCTTGTCCAAGATTTCTTGTCTAATGTAAACTGAACTGACATATAGCTTCAACTAAAACTAATGAGACTTTTGAACCCTGATTGTTTACTTTCATTGAGCCAACAAGATGGGGATAAAACAAACTAAACCTCAGTGAGTCAACACAAGTCTCAATGTGGGTTGAAAACTCTTCAAATAGCAAGTGCATACTTAATAACATAATATACAAGCATATTGAAACGGTGTATACAAGGACACGTCCTGGCAAGTTTGACTTAAATGATGCTCAACACAATTGGTTATCATGCATTAAGTTTTAATATGCAGAAGCAGAAATAAGGCTCAGGAGCTATAGTGGTCGGGAAGATTTACAATAAGTATGGATTTCGGATTGTCTGCAAATATGACATAGAATATAGTGCACAATCATTAACATTCTTTTATCATGCTTTCATGGTATGGAACAGCTTTGTAAGTCAAAATGTTCCTGTTGTTTTTAATGGAAAAAAGTCAGGTTTGTCATCATGAACTTTCATTTTCAAGAGAACTAAGCTTTAATGATCAGGGATGGTTTGAGCTTGTAGAAGAGAGACTAAATAGCCACCAGCTGAACTCATATGAACCAAGTGTGAAAGAAATGAAATATAAAACAAAACAGCTGTCAGTATTCATAAAAACATTGCAGGAACATGCGTGTTAATACCTGCTGTGTGTCAACCTCACCCTAGGGTGCACTGGGGTTCAGCTTAAAAAAAAACTTCATTTCTAAAGGTCTATTTGCTCATGGATCACTCATTGATAGGGGCTCGAACCTCAGGCAAACAGGCTAATGGATGGCTGTCTGGATGTCAAGCTCTGCAGAGGACACGTTTTATGGGAACGGTAAATAACAGGGCCGGAATGAGCAGTGCCATGGCAGGAAGTCTAGCCTCTCTCAAACAATGATAGCTTTCAAGAAGAGCATAGGTTTTCTGTACTGGGATTGTGTGTGTAAAGTCCGGCTATTTGGACAAATCTACAGTTGCAGTTGCAGTGGCATTTCAATCTCATACATTCTCAAAAATGAAATGTAGGCAGTCCATACTGTTTTATATCAGTCATAGCACAAGGCTTAGAAGATTTTCAGTAC